TGGTCTGAACAGCACTCTAGTCCTGGGCTGATTTTATTTTATTCTTCTAATTGGCTACTTTGTTCTCGGGTTTTGATGCTTCTTCTCTCCTGAAACTCTCTCAGTCTCTGGTTGCCTCCCCACATCTTAATGCTGCAGCAGTAGAAAGGTGTCCCTGTTTCAGACAGGCAGGGTGCCCTGCCCTCCAGGCGGAGACTTAAAGCTTGTTCTTGGGACACTGAATTTCTACACAGAACAAATTCTGAATTAAGTGTGATATTGAGACAACCACCTTTTAACTTAGGGTCACTGTGAAGAGCAAATAAAAGCAGAACCCTCTTTATTCTCGCTCCCCACACGAAACAGAATACAGCCGTATTATTTTCCCCCCAGGTAACCCATTTTGTGTGAGGATGGCCCATTGTTTCATCATCAAAGGCCTTACCAAAGCTTTTAAATAAGTATTACAACATGTTAAGATTTAGAAGGATTTTTCTTTTTGAGTAGTTAAAACAAAGCAACTTCATAAATAAGGTGATATGGGCATAGAAAATACTGCAGAGACTAGGATATTTTAGCATTTATCGTGGGCCTGGGCAAAGGCTGGCTGCCGCGGGCCCCCCACACACATATGTGGCTAGCTCCCTCTGCATATGTTTAACGATAGAGCAGATGCGTTCAAGAGAGCCAGAGACATGCAGGAAGGCTGAAGGAGCTCAGAATACGTTACTAAAATAAACTCACACTTTGTCTTATTGTTACACATTTCATATTTAAAGTATTAATATTTTCAAGTTTGAAAAATATCCCAGAAATTCGATTTTTCCAATAATTCCTTGCTCCCAAATTCACAGCAATACCTCAATCTGTGTCACAGGAATCAAATTTAAAATTGTAGCAAAATAATAGTTTATCATTGTGTGTAATGAGATTCTGGATTTTCTACTTTTCCTTTTATCTGTTTTTTATTTTATTTTTATTTTATTTTATTTGCCTTTTTGAGACAGGGTCTCGTTATGCAGTTCAGGCTGGCCTTGAACTCACTTTGTAGCTCAGGCTGCCCTTGGACTCACAGCAATCCTCCTGCATCAGCCTCCCGAGTGCTGGGATTACAGGCATGCACCACCATGGCCAGGCCCACTTTTTCCTTTTAATACATATTCCCAAAGTTGAATTCTTTAATAAAGATGTACTATGTAAAAATAAAAATAAGAACTTTTAAGAGAAACCCCTTGTTCACTTGAATGGTTTTAATGGTCAGTGAACTTTCAAGATCATTTATAAATTTGTGTGAGACAGATATGTATGTACAGATGATGCACATACCTTGCAAAATCACATATTTACTTGTCACAATTACACATATGTATATTGCACACATGAAAAAAATATACATACACAATTTTTCCCTGAAAGAAAGAAAACTAAGAGCTATCATCAGATTCTAATTTTCCCATGGATCTGAACCCAAAATAAGTTTCTAAAAATTGTTCCTTCTTAAAAAAATAGAATGGAGAGTACTGAAAGAAGCTGGGATATGGTGTCTGAGTTTCTGACCATCATCATGCACAGGACTCTCTTACCACACAGGAAGAAAATATAAAAGACTTTTATAATTTGGGGCTACAATGTCCAACTTAATATTCAATCACTGTATAGTTTTCCCCGTGATTTGACTCAATGCTGGGCTCAAATATCCATTGACATCAAAGATTCTGCTTGTTCTTTTAAAAATGATTATTTCTGAAACAATACACAGCCAACTTGTTATACCTAGGGGGTGGGACTAGCAGACAACCTGGGGATCAGCAAGAAGAGATTTTGCTTGTGATGTCTCATTATCTGAATCTTTATGTAACTATTTATGAGTGATTTCTTATTGCTTTTGTCTCTTAAAATATACTCATAGTAAAAACTCAAATTAAATTAGTCTATGTAAATCAGGCAGGTACATTTATTAAAACATTCAGAGTTAGCAACGTGAAACATTTAAAAAAACTTCTCCTTTATCTTAAATTGATGCTGATATTCATCTTCAGCTTCATTTATTCAGCTCTCTATATGAACTTGATACCAGGGACCAATTTCTAACATGTATTTTTAAAATACTTTGGACTGCATACCTTTGTGTACTGGAAACACAATTCTCAATTTATTTTTTGGAGAAGTATCTGTACGAACAGAACTTCTGCATCTGTTTTAGAACGGCTCCTGAAGGTCTCCATAGGAATGGCAATTGTGAGTCAGATTTGAGTCTTGGTTCTGTTACTGGCCATCTGGGTGAGCTCAACAATTTTTTAATTAAGATCATAATTACACATTAGTGTATTCTCTTTCTAGGGGGTTGGGAAAGACTGGTGTAAAAGCAGGCACATCCTCAGCCCTCAACAAGCATCCAGTAAGATACTCCAACACTGCTGCTGCCTCTGCTCCCGGCACTGCATTGATTGCCTGGCCAACCACTACCCCTCCCTCTTTGAACATTACACGCATTCCTCTGTGGAATCTCCACTCCCTCTCTGCCTAACATTGGTGGGACCATAAATGCAGATGCGCACCCTCCCACTAGAAATCCAGTGGAGTCCTCTACAACAGTTCCTGTGTCCTCTGAACTCAGCCTGTCATACTCTCTTGAGTGTTCCAGTCCTGAGATTGGACAGACATGGAGCCATTTTTAAAAACTACCCCATGTATTTTTGGTCTTAGGGGTGTGGCTCTTTGTATCTCTCTCTCTAGCTCGGGAGGCCATGGCTCATTCTCTGCCCAGGTGGCCAGTGTGAGGAGAGTAGAAACTAAGATTCCCAGTGAGATGAAGTATTTCATGTTCTTCTGCAAAATTCTTCATGGAGCAACGATATGTAGTCTTATCAGATTTTGAATTCACTCATTGCAGTTTGATATTCGATCTCCCTTCAGCATAATTAACTTGCTTAACCATATTTATCTTATACTCCATAAATTCTGTGGGAGGCCACCTGTTTATAGGGGGGGACAAATGATGACAAGGGAAGGGAAGCAAGTCCCTCTCTCAAGTGGCAGCCACCGTACATTGTGGGACAAGAGCAGAAAAGTTGGCCTTGGGCATCGGCATGCCGTCTCAACTCTGCTACTGAGATGCAAGTCACCCTGATACACTTCCAGTCACAGGGACAGCAGGAAGTGGACCTCCTGAGTGCTACCGCCTGGGAGGGGTCTGACTGTCCAATGACTTAGACTCAAACATAACCTGGTCCCTTCTGGGCACCGGCTGTTTCTTCCATGTGTCCTCTGATTGTGTGAGTTCCCTCATTTATTTCCAACGTGTCAGCTCACGTTTCTCTGAGCTGGTTTCGGTCGTATGAAAATAAAGCTAACGGAGTCACCACCTCACAGCAATACTGCTGAGGTCACTTCTGAACACTGACACTGCAAGGTTGCTTCCCTGATGTCCTGTTACGGTTTACAGAAGGCAATGTGTTCAGCCGGTTTCTCTTGTTGCCTTAGCTGCTTGGAAATGTAGTGTTGATTTGAACCTGACTGCAATAGCTGCCTTTAATCTAAGATTTGGAAGGAAAAGCAACACACTCTTCTTCTCCAGTTAGTACTCTTTCCCTTTATCTGACCCTTTTATTACGTGTATGTTTCGTAACAAGTTGCTCCTTTTATGCTGAAATAGATGAATAATAAATCAAAAACCTCAACTATAAATGAAATCAAAGGTATAGTCCATTTCTATTTCAACCACAAAATTATTATCACATTTCTGTTTCCTCTACTATTCGCTAACACAGATCCCAATGAATTAACTGTGAAAATATAAGCTTTTATTCAGTGTAATAAATTAGTTTTAATTTCTTTTTATCAAATATATTTGAAACCTGGTATATGTATATATTATAAATATGAAATTTTAATAGCAGCACGTCAGATTATCATGAAAATCTGCACAGCTCTTTTTCCCTCTGATATTTAATGTCACGGGACCTTTTTTTATATCTAAACTCTTCGCTGACACACACTGATGATTAATGACCCCCAGGCTCATGCTGCCCTGTAACATGAAAGTCACCGAAATGCCTCTGCCCTGGAGAGCAATTACTCCATGGAACAATAGCCCCTACCTGGTGTACCGAAGTCCCAAAGGTTGGCTGTTAAACTTGCAGTTGTAATTTGTGAAAAAGTCCAGAATGCCAAGTTTTGAGCTGCTGGGGATTTTATGCACAGTTTCATTTTACTAGAAACAACTTTTGCTTTTCTGTCTGTGCTTGCAAAGATTTTGAGTAAGTCACAAAAAAAGGCACAGACTTGAGCTAGATGTTTTCCTATTTAAATACAAAGATACATAGTTGGAAATTGTGCATCTACCAGCACTTGTGGTTTGTGACATTATTGCTGACATGAAAAAGATACAGAAAGTCAAGCCTGTGCCTGCACTCGGGGTGGGTGTTTCAATGGGGCAAGACTGAGGTTCAGTATGTGCTTCTGCATTGAGAGACGAGTTGTGAAATACAATTCTGCATGTAAATCGAAGTGTTTCCTATTAACACAAGACCCTTGTCTGCAGAATATTCTGCTCAGGATAAGTGTGTAAGTAAAGCCAAAGTATCAGACATGTGAAGGCACAATAAGCTAGTATCTTCCTTGCAATACTTAATAAAGACAAAGACCCTGCTCACTATGACCATACGCTTATAAAAATTCACCTGTTCAGTGAATTAGCCAATTAAAATATATTAATTTATATCCCTTCTATTGTTTTGCTGCTGTTAAAGGCACCAGTGATATTAACCTTGCCAAGAAGCCTTTACAGCTGCTTTGGTAAGATGAACCCATTATATCCCTGAGCGTACAGTGAAGAAGCACAGCACATGATGCTGGTGAAATCCTGCCTTCAGCACACAGAATCCCATCCGATCGTGCTGACCTAGGGAGTGCGGAGGACAAGGGCTTTGAGCTGAGTGTCTACTTAGTGTCTGAATAAAAAGAAAGAGGAAGAAAGGCAGGAAGAGAGAACAACTGAAGACAAACTTGTGAAACAGAAATGCAGTGAGTCACACAGGCCAGTGACTGAGAGAAGCCTCCTTGGAACTCTGAGTACTTGCTGGACTGTGTGAAAGGGAGCCTTACCTGGGAAACACGTAGACATTGAAGAAACAGTGTCAGGTCCAGCTGGGGGAGCCCGGTGGAGGGCGGAAGGGAGCCACTGGGGCGCTCCTGGGATCTGTGACCAAGGGGATGAAGCCCGGAGCAGGAGGTGGCCTTGGGAACAAGGAGCGGCAGAGATGGAGGAGTACGGAGTCTCGGAGAAGATGGGGTCAGAAGACATGTGAGAGATGCCTGCAGTGAGGAGCTGACGCGCTTCCCGCCATGGGAGCGCTCAACAGTGCCCCGTAGTGTGACTGCAGGTAAGCGGTAAAGCTGACGGGTATCCATATATCCAAGTACCCATGTATCCATATATTCAGGTCATGGATGTGTGTGAGTGCTTTTTAGACACAGAGCTCGTGAGGAGATGTCATAAGAAGCAGGGGACCTAAACCAATTTCAACTTTGAAAGAACTGAAAATAAAATGCCATATTCAGAAATCTCATTTTTTCAAATTTAATATCTATAAACTCGAAATAACCCTAGTCCTACTCAAGTCAAAGGAAAGTATCTAAGCTAAGCTTTTTATCTTAATTATGCCACACATATTATATACATATTCAACATATATTATATATAATATATTATATACTATATATTATATGTATATTATATAATATATAATTACATAATATATTATATAATATAGTATATGTATATTATATATATATATGCCTGGTTAGTGAATCAGTCAGTAAATGAAAACAACGCTTTTGTGCTTACACATTGCACTACCTCTCAGCGATGTAAAGACATACCTATCACTCTGGGAGACTGAAAAAGGGAAGTTGCAAGTTTGACCACAGCTTTGCAATTTACTGACTTAACAAGACCCTGTTTCAAAATGAAAACAATAAAAAGAGTGTAGCTCAGTCTGAAAGCCCGGGTTCAATCCCAGTTTCACACACACACACACACACACACACACACACACACACACACGACATACATGTAATATGTAAACCATATGTGGCGGCTTCTGAGTCATGTGCACATTAAATTTGTTTCTTATTCCGAGCCACCTCAACCAGCCAGCTGCGGGCCATCCCTCTGCATTGTCCTGGGGCCGTCACTTGCGTATCTCTTTCACTGACCTCCATCTCCTCTGCGGCTCCTGTCCTGGAGGCTGGGGGCAGCGATGGGGGAGGTCACGTGTAGGGCTTGGCCGACTGCAGTTGTGTGAGGAAAAGAGGACTGAGAGAGTGGGCTCTGCATCTGGGACAATAGCAGGCCATTTACAACCACAGCAGAGAGAAAGTGGAGGGAAAAGAGAAGGAAGAGGCGAAGAAAAAAGCTAAGGAGACTAAATCACGGGGAAAGGAGGGAGCAAGGACATGTTCTTTTCCAACCTTTAGGAGGGTTCTAATGTCTCCACTTCCCACTTTTACATTTCTCACCTATTTCTCAGTCCAGAATCCCTGGGACAGCTACTCAAATCCCACTGTCTCCTCCAGCCCTGTGTAGAGTTCATGCTTGGTGTAGCTTTAGGCGTGAGACATTGAAGGGGGTGCCACAGGACTATAGAAGGGACCCATTCCTGTTGACATTACCTACCACCAAGTAGAAGGACACAAAGAGAGGGAGCAATAAAGAACCAAAAAGATAGGAGCTTTCTGCATGTGTGACTTTCATGGACCTCTAAGGTCACTATTATAACATAAATTGATGTCAAAGAAAATTTGAGAAAATTATCATCTATTTCCTCTCCTTTTTCTAAATTGCTCTATTTTAAACACCCTCTGGCACTTAGAGCTTGGGAATTCTATTTTTATATCATTCTGTGCATAATATGTTTGTTGCACATTTTTAAATTGTGGTTGATCCAGCCTCAAACTAGAGGCTTGATATTTTCTATTCTTTTGATTTTTAAAAATTAAATATTTAAAATCTTCTGTGTAATTCTGTGTAGAATAAAGTGCTGAATCATAATGGAAACATTAAAATGTATTCTTGTCCAAAGGCTGTCACAGTGGTCTTGGTTAAATCCCATTTATTTTGGTCTTTGTGTCATTTCTGAAATTCAGTTTCCCTCTGTGTTAACTGTGGATGATATTTATCTTACTGGACTCTTGTGGCCATTAAAATAATGTACTTAGAGATGTGCTAACTCTTCGTATAGGTGATAGCTTTAAAAGTTTACCTTGTATCTCACTTAATGAGAGAATTACAAATGCTTTTGGATTTTTGGGTTATCTTCAATACTAGACTAGATCATGAAATGAAGATATCAAGCCACATAGTGAATTAAATGTTCTTAAATTAAAAAACTTCTGACTTTAAAAGATATTATAAAATATTTTTGAATGATGGAAAAGGTATTTGATGATAAATTATAGCTGGATAAAAATAAACAGTTTCCTGGTACCTTCTGGAAATGGACAGATACCAATATTCTCACAATACGGAAATGAAGCTTCCCCAGGCTTGGGCTGCTGTCCCTGTCCAGGACAGAAGTTTTCCTTTCCAGGATGCCATCTGCTGTGTGCTAGCATAACATCCTAGTCTAATCACCATGTGGTCTCAGGGAGCAGATATATAGGGAAGGACTGCAGTACCTACTTTGTAGATTCAAATTACAGAAAACACTGAGATATTTTAAATACTTAGATGCTACAAAGAACTTGTATTTTTTTTGTTTTTTTTTTGGTTTTTCTCCGGTACCGGGAACCGAACTCACGACCTTGCGCTTGCCAGGCAGGCGCTTTTGCCGCTGAGCTAAATCCCCAGCCCCTACAAAGAACTTGTAAACAGTTTTAATAAGTTTAAATTTCATTTCTGTTGATTATTAACATAAAAAATGTTAACAATTGAAATGTGAAAACTTCACACTCTAACATAAAAATATTTCAACACCAGAAATGGTTTGAAAGCTTTATGTCCTACATGTTATTGCTCATTTCTCTGTTGTCTCTACACACAGGAATACAACCGGGTACTAGGTTCATTTTATGCATAGAGGAATTGTAAATTTCACTTGTAGCTAATTAAAATTTAAATAAATATTTTAACGATGGAGCAGTGTCACATTTATATATGTGTATTTTCCATTTTATGAAATTTTACTGAAGTATGACCTTCTTTTGAAATTTCCATAGCTAAAGAACAAAAAGAATAATTGCTAGTCATCTGAATATTAGTAATATTTCTCCCTATTCAGTCCTATCCTGAAAGAAACAAAATTTGGTTTTGTGGTATGATTTCTATCTCAAAATATATTACACACACTATTCACAAGCATTCTGCTCTATTCTCTGGCTTCTATCATCTTTGAAGCAAAGTTTAGATTTCCTGTATTCCACAGTTTTGCATATAGAATTCCTTTTATAAAATGTGATACACCGGTTTGGTCTTTACTATATTTAGAAGTTGCATCGGAAGTTTGGATATTTCTCATTTAATGACTGAGTTCACATCCTGCGGCTAGGTCACTAAATGAAGACTTGTATATACTATGTACATTAAAATATTCAGAACAAAGAAATGGTCAAAGGGAAGTCCAACTTGGTGACTTTGCTTTTATTTGTATAACTCTCATATACAGAACTGTAATGCATAACAGAACATAAAACTGCAGCACTGTACAGTACATCAGCAAAAGTTACAATGCTGTATAAACAAGGTATATTGTACCAAAAAAGACACTGGAGCTCTATCAGCAAGACCTATAGAACTGTACCATAAAAAAGGGAGGTAGAGGGGTCACAGTCCACACAGGGCACCTCGGCCATTAGTCCTCACAGCCGTTAAGCAGGACACAGTTGACAAGGACTGTCTGAAGACGGTGGGGGAAGGCCCACTCCTCCACAACTGGCTTCTCTTCCGGGTCACGTCCTCTTGACTTCCGGTGCCCGCACACACACGGGAGGAGCAAGGCCCTCTTCGCAATACAAACCATGTGGCAGCAATAGGAAGGGAGTTTGAGGGAAGAACTTAGCAACCCAGTGAACCACCCTGAGGGAAAGAGCACAGGGTACAGACATGTGTACACACATACACACACACACACACGCACGCACACACATGCATGCAGCCCCACCGTCCTGACCATCCCATCTGTCTCAGCACTGGAACTTGCCATGGGACTGTCTGCAGTCTCCCTGCATTTCTCCCCAATGAAAACAACCTACTAACGAGCGATGGGAAACCAGGATAGACTGGATGAATGCTCTGGGGGCGGCCTGTGGCTCACCCCAGCCTCACAGCTCAGCTGAGAAGTGGGGACTGGCTTTGCCCCCGGCTGGGCCACAGCAGGAAAGAAGCAGGCCCCAGTTCCTTCAGCTGGTTCATAGCAGCTTCACTCAGCCTAGCTCTGAAGAGCACGTCCAAGCAGTCACGCTCTTTGGGATACTTCCCAAAACATATTAAACTGAACATTAGAGAGAGCATTAAAGAGAAAGGAAATTAAAGACGCCCAGCTTGAATGCCTCTTCCCTGTGCTGTTCAGGGATCACTGGCCGCCTGCCACCAGGCACCTTCTTGCAAGGAGGAGGCCTTCTTAAACTTTTTAAAAATAGCTTCATCTAGAACTGGAATGAGACAAGACAGGACTGAGACCCGACTCCCACAGAAATAAGCACTGGGTGGGGAAGTATAGCTTCATGGTTGTCACACCAGAAATACGAAAGTTAATTTAGGGAACTGGGCATGAGCTTATGACACGAATATATTTACAATGGCATAATCCTGACATTTTGGTATTTTCTGAAGTTGGCTTTGCCATGCAGAAAAATGTGTAGTTTTAACTGAAACCAGAGCAATGGCCCATTCCAGAGAACAAGAGCAGCAGGTGACACTGTCCTCCAAATGTCCTAGTCTCCAGTGGGGTCCCAGGGTGAAGGTCCACTCTGACACTAGCTTGCTATTGTCAGCTCACTGAGCTGAGTCCACCCCACCAGTCTCTCTGGATCATGTGGTCCACCCAGGATTGCTTGCTGATGCAGCAGGGTTATTTTTAAGTATTATTTAATGGTCTGGAGTCCTTGGAGGGGGAAAAAAAGGGCAAGTGAGATGAAGAATTCCTCTTTTTATCCTAAGTAATACAATGCATTTCTGGAGGCTCTGACCAGACCACCAAGACCTGATGGAGAAAAGTGAACCCTCTGGAAGGAACAAAGTTCCACAGAGTGTGCAGCTGTGGCTTACACAAAGATAACTTTAGGTACAAAGTAGCAACCAGTTCTGCAGTATTTATCCAACACTCTGTTTTTCTGAAATTTTGTGCAGGAATGGCTGAGTGAATGGATCAACACTGTTCACTCT